TCCCCTCCCACTCATTTTACCCCATGGCATTTTCAAATCACAATTGCCCATCCACATTTCGAGTTGCCCCATTTCCAATTTGGCCCCCATTCTTCCCCTCACTCATTTTCCCCCATGCACATTTTCCAATTCACAATTGACCCCCATCCCTCTTCCACTTTCAATTGGCCCCTTTTTTCCCCATTCCCTCCAAGACAATTTTCAAACCAAAGTTGCACTATCATCCTTTACCCGCAATCGACCATTGCGTTCCCCCATAAAACTTAATAAACCCTAATATAACTTAATATAACTTAATATAACTTAATAAACATAACATAAGAAAATTGAACTTCGTGACATTACACAATTACTCTACTTTTGAAAAAGTAAAGTTATTGCAATTTTTGGTTTTCTCGGTTTACTTCTATTATTTTTATTTCTAAACTGTATCCTACTTATTATTTTTGGACATCTTTTGATTCCTTAAATGCAACTTCTTTTTGTGTATCATTTAAAATTGTATCTTATCGCTCGCATAGATTGGTATCTATTTTGCAATTTATTGATGTTTTAAAATTAAATTTTTAAGTTATTGTATGATTCTTATCTTTTTTGTTTATGTTAAGATTAATTTTAGTTTATTATTTTTAGTAACTATTTTGAAACAAAAAATTATCTTCTATTGCCCATTAAGCAGCTACTTTATTATTTATGTATTGTAAAAAATTTTTTTTACTATATTCAACGTATTGTGTCGAAATAGAATTTACTTTGAAACATTGACATATAAGCGTTGAAAATCAAAGCGGTAATAAATTTTTTTATTTTTTCAATGTTTTAATTAACCATAGTATTTTGTTAGCATAGTTTTATTACGTTTAAAAAAGATTATTTTGGACTGAGGTTCTACTATGGAAATATAGAAATATTATATGAACAGTATGTCGTCAATCTTACTACTACCTCCATCTCATAAAATATAATTGAAGGTCAACTTTTTATCTTCTACTTTTAAAATTTGAATCCCTCTAACACTCTTCTGGTATTTTCTTAGCTTCCTCAATTCAAATTACTCTGTCCTTTTCATACACTGTCCTTGCAATTTTCAATACTTCTTCCCATTCCAATTTACCCATTCTTCCCCCACCACTCATAATGATAAATCTCAAATCTAAATCGCTGTTGGGTTGGCCCCCCTTTCTTCCCAATTGCAATTGGCCCGCAATCCTTACCCTCAACTTATTTTCCCTCATGGCAATTTCCAAATCACAATTGCCCATCCACTTTTCGAGTTGACCCCTCTCTAAATTGGCCCATTCTTCCTCCCACTGATTTTCCACCATGCACATTTTCCAAATCACAATGGCCCATCCACATTTCGAATTGACCCCTCTTTAGATTGGCCCCAATCCTTCCTCCCCTCCCTCTCATTTTCCACCATGCACATTTTCCAAATCACAATGGCCCATCCACATTTCGAATTGACCCCTCTCCAAATTTGCCCATTCTTCCCCCCACCATTTTCCCCCACGGCATTTTCCAAATCACAATCGCCCATCCACATTTCGAATTGACCCCTCTCCAATTTGGCCCCAATCCTTCTCCAACTCATTTTCCCCATGGCAATTTCTAAATCACAATTGACCCCCAACCCTCTTCCACTTCCAATTGGCCCCCTTTTTCCCCTTATCCACACACTCCCCCATGACAATTTTCAAACCAAAGTTGCACCACCATCCATTACCCGCAATCGACAATTTCATTCACCCATACATACTCTCTCATAAAATGACAAATTACCAAATGCAATTCTTTGTCTTTTTCAGTTCGTTCATTATTTTTTTGCGCCATTTTACTTAATCACTTTAAATATGTGTATTTCTTTGAATAAAAATCTTTCTTTCTATACTTTCGACGACTATGTTCTCTTTTTTTATTGGTTAGTTTTCACTTTTTTTGTTATTAACTTTTAACAAAAATAATCCTTGCATTTATTGTGTATTTGTAGTATTTGTGTGTCAAGGTTGCTATAAAATTTTACTTATTATCTTTATTTTTATTGTGTATATTTTTAGTAAATATTGTAAAACTAAACTAAAAATTATTTATTTTTGTCAATTTAGTGGAGAATTAACAAATATAGTCTTTAGAAATTAATTCTTTTTTTGCTTTGTTGAGTTTTATGTGATTATATAATAATTACTTTGAACATTTAATTGTAACAGTTAAAAAGTAAGTCAATGATTAAATTTTTTTTATAATGTTTTCAACGTTTCAATTAACTATATTAAATTGTCATTATATTTTCTTTAGAAATTTAATAAGAAGATTATTTTAGAGTAAAAATGTATTATGAAAACATGGAAACATTATGTAAACAGCATGTAATTGAACTTCCTACTACTACTATCTCATAAAGTTTAACTGACGTTCAAATTTCAATCTTTTTTGCTTTTCGAATTGGAATTTTTCAAACACCCTTCCTATATGGATTCTCCCAAGACTTTCAATTCACACTCAGTTCTCTTTGCACACTGTCCTCAATTTTAAATGCCCCCATTTCTAATTTACCCATTCTTCCCTGCATCCATAATGGCAATTTTCAAATCAACACAATTGCCTTTCGGTTGGCCCCTCTTCTCCAATTTCCTCACACCCCTTTCCCCCAACCATTTTCCCCCATCGCAATTTCCCCTTCCATCTCCAAATGGGCCCATTCTTCCCCAGCCCACCACAATGGCAATTTCCAAATCACGATCACCTTGGGGTTGGCCCAAATTAGCCCCTTTCCCCACCCATTTTCCCCTTGGCAATTTCCCCACTCTCTCCCATTTCCAATTTACCCATTCTTCCCCACCCCACACCCAGAATGGCAATTTTCAAATCAAAATTGCGCGGGCACATTCCCAATCGGCCCCTCTTTCCAAATTGCCCATCTTTCCCATTAGCAGAAAAAATCACTAAAAAGTGTGTATTGTATACTGGCACTCAACATATTATGCAGAATCAGACCCAATAGCAAAATCAAAATCCTCATCTAACAGAATACGAATAGCAATATAATCCAACAATTAGTTATCTGTAAAAAGAATGCACTTGAATGAGTTGTGGTCAACGACTTGTTTTATAGTAAAAGCTATCTGCAGCTATGAAAAGAGAATGTAGGGATTTTCTCTCATTATGATTCTTGCCAAACAAACTATCAACTAGGTTATCCTTTATGCGCTAAGATAAAAGACTACAAGTACTAGTTGGTATTTTGTTTGCCAAACCTATTTGGGTAAGTTCTTCTAATAAATCCATATGAGCATTGTGCATTTGCTACTAAAGAGACTATCGACGACATATAAATACTATATGAAACAAAGTCTAAGATATGAATAACTCCACTTACATATGGGATAGTTTTCATGTGCTAGTATAAAACAACTTGATGGAAAAAAAAGAATGATGAAAAATGGACAGACAATATACGGTAATTCAAACAACCCATGTCATTCTAGTAACACTATCCAAGCCATATTCAACTTGAGAATACACAATGAACTTACTACTATTTATGTCACTTGCCTTGTATAAGTCTGCTTCAATAGTTAAAACTTGTCTTTGATTCACAAATCAGCAAATTGTCTAAAGTGCATTCTTACATCAGCATGATGTAAAAGTCTGCAAGAGTGAGATCATTCTACCAACTTCTTACCAATCTGAGGTTCCATACTACAAAACAAGTTATCAGTTCGTTTCTCAATCATCATAAAAAATACTCTTTTGTCTTTCTATTTGCTGAAAAAAGAAAAGAGTAATGAGTTAACGAATTAATAGCGTATTACAATTCTTTAGTCTTGTGTCTGGCAATCCATACATACTGTACTTTTTTATATGAATTGTTCGTGCTTCTTGAAATAACTAGCTTCACACCATCAAAGTCATTTCCTTGGGTATCTGGAACAATCTCTTCCCAGCGCAAGTTGACCAGGTTTTCTTCGTTCGTTCGTAGAGCTGTTTCCATCTGACCTTGGTGTCGAAGAAAATTGATAAACTTGAGTGTACAAACTTTGGGAAATGTTTTCTTTTTCTTCTCAGTATGGAATGTCAAGTCTACTGCTTTCTCCCTTTCTTTATACCTTGGTCTCCTTGGATAGCTTCAAAGAGCTACAAAGTAAACCTGCTCTCTCTCCTTTTCGGTCACATAGTACTTGATTGCTTTAATATATATACATATATTTATGTATATGTGTTTAGAGAGATATAGTCTTGACACCTTGTTTTTCAGTTTAAAAGAAACAAAAATTGAGTCAATGATGGTAGATAGGATGTATATCTAATAGCTTTGCAATTGTTGAAAACATTCTGAATATTTTCGAGTCAAACGGAAAGGTAGTCGGAACAACGAATTTCGGAGTCTCTACGAAAAGAAAAAGACAATGAAATTTGATAAACAATTGGCAATGTTGGTCAACTGAGTAAAAGCCAGTGAACAAAGAATTCGTGAAATGTATGGACTAGTCCATTCTCAAAAGAATAAGAATATGCGAGTAGTAAACAGAAAGCTTTATGAATAAATGGATGGGATGTAACTTTACGTAGTTTTCATTTATGAAAAGCCTACTGAAAGATATTTATTAGAATCCTTTTATCCAGAGTGAGGTAAAGTAAGATTCTTGGCAACTTTAAGCGAAACAATAATTATGGTGCTTCTTATCCTATTGCCAATTACCAAAGGACTTCTAGTCAGTTGAAAAAAGTCCATATCAAATATACGATACCTCAAAATGGCTACTGTTCGACAATCAAACCCTTTCTAAATTTTGCAAGGTTTCCTTGTTTTTTCACGGAAACAAAAAACCATTTTACCTTTTATATTCCAAAGTCTAAACTATTTCGCAGTTGTACGAGACTGAAATTTACGATTGACACAAAGTTATGAAACA